GCAGCCGCTTACGTGCATACCATCTATGTTGGCTGCTCTCAGGGAATCTCTATGCCTTAGTCTCGGCATCAGTAAAATAAAGATGCAAATCTAATTCTTAGGAATGTTGTAAGTCTATAGTAAAGCAAAGACAGAAAGACATTTTTCTTCCAATGCCAAAGAGAGGGTACATGGGTAGGAAACAGAAATTAATCCTATGCCCAAGGGAAAAATATTTTGCTCAACTCCTTTTCACACTAACACGGGGCATATAAAACTCTTTTTTAGCAAATATAGAGCATAACTGAGCTGTCAGCTTCTTATGCCTAGCAGTCAGATGCCCTGTGAAGGGCCCTTTCCTCTCAGCAGCCATTGGTTGCACAGTTACTTTTCTCCTCAGTGCCTTAACACCTCTGCTTACTGCTAAGCAGCATCATGGCTTCTCCCTCACCAAGCCCAGAGAACGGATGGGTGGCGATACCAAACCCGGGCAGAAGTGTATCCTGCTCAACCCCGCCCCCGCAATGATCTCCTGCCTACAGCATCTCTGGCCAGTCTGCATCTCTTCACTTTCCCCACATCTTCTTCAAGCTCTGTGGAGAAGCTTATGAAACTGGCTGTATTTAAGCTTTCATTTGGAAAACAGCACACCTATAAACCATATGTTCGTCTTACTCTATAAAGTCTAAACTAAAATAAGAAAAGAAAGCCTTCTTTGTAAGAAGGAAAAAACAAAGACCTAGAAAATTTCAAAAGGCCTGGAGGAAACCTAAGCAAAGGACTTTTCAAACACAATCTCATAGCAGGGTTCTTGACATTTCTTTGTGGCATGAATTCTCCGGCAGTCTGATGAAGCTCATAAACTCCTTCTCAGAATGATGTTTTAAATGCATAAAATAAAAGCACACAGGATCACAAAGGAAACCAGTTACAGTGAAATGCAATTATCAAAATATTAAAAAAATCCTTAAGATGTGGGAACATGTGCTTCTGTATTAATGCACGAATTAACACTATCTAGCAGTAGTTTAATTCCAAATGCAATGTTTATGTATTATTTTTTTTTTTTGAGAGAGAGAGAGAGAGAGAGAGAGAGAGAGAGAGAATGAGTAGGGGGAGGGCAGAGAAAGAGGGAGACACAGACTTTGAAGCAGGCTCCAGGCTCTCAACTGTCAGCACAGAGCCCAAAGCGAGGCTCAAACTCACGAACCACGAGATGATGACCGGAGCCAAATAAGCCACCCAGGGCCCCCCCAAATTTAATTTCTAAGCAGTGATGAGCATAATTTGTCAAGAGATCTGCAACAAACGTGTGAGATTTGAATAATCTGCTTTTATTAGTGAGAAAGACACAGATGTTGCTTATAATACTGTGATCTGTTGCAAATATTTATAATTGAAGGAAATGCTAAATATTATTGATAGTTTAGTGAAAATAAATACATAGTTTTATTCTCATTGAAGTTCATAGACCTCTCTACATTCTCTCCACAGACCCCAACATATACATAAAGCAGTTGGAGGCACAGCTTCCCTGGCTTAAACAGAAGCAGAAACAGAAGCAGAGGGCTGGTGGCAGCATTGCCTGGCTTCTCTGTCACTGCCTTTTCCTCCCCAGCCCACAGCCCCGAGGCCCCTGTGAGCAATCAGCTCCAAGGCTTGTTGGAAGCAGCTTGAAAAGCACTCACAAAGAAGGTACTATTCGGCCTGTTGAGAGTACGAGTGCAATAGCACGCCTATGCCTATTTTCCCACTCTCCCAGCCATATCTATACATATGGTGTGAACAGAGTATGTGGGGGATCGGGTTCTTCTTACCTCATTTTCTTTGCACTTTTTTATTCTATTTTAATCTTGTTTCCTTTATTTTGTTATAGCCCACCAGTCCTTAGCATGCCTTCTCTTGTTTCTTACTGACGGATTTTGTTTATTGTACTTCAGTTCAGCGCTTGTGCTGTTGTACTCATTTTTACTCTTGGTTTTATTTTCCCATTAGATGTGTAGAATATTATCAGGGACTCTTTTTCTTGTCAACCTATATAGTGTCTGGTATTAACGGCTTTAATCACCTTTAGTTCACATTATTCCTTTGTTTAAAGCATCACTGCCCTTTCCTCGTTTTTGGTTTTGATTTTGTTTGTTCGTTGTTGTTGTTTAATGAATGGTGGGGGGAAAAGCTGATCATCAGGTTGCAGTCCCCCAGGGGTCAAATAGGGGTGTTTGGATATTCTTTTCCCTCATACTCTCTCAAACGCAGCCTTTCTAACTCTCCTTACAAGACAGTGGGAATCTCAATCTTGAAGCCTCTAAACTTTTAAACCTGTGTCCCTCAGGAGAGTCAAAGGCTAAAATTCTCTCCCGGGAGGATAGAATGGTAACAAGCCGGCCTGTGCCAGCAGCACCCTGAACTGCTGGAACTTGTGCACCTGAGTCAACGGCAGATGCTCAGTCAGCCCTCCACTGGTCATGCAAGGTTCCAAACTTCTCTGGCTCTAACACTGCTTACATCATCAGTGGGGAGACCGATCACTAGAAGATGGGAGAACGCAGCAGTTAGGCTCTGCTTGCTGAGCCTGACCCGCACAGGCTGAGGGAGAGAAAGAATTGAGCCAATGACAGAGGTGGCAGCCCAAAGTCCTGTTGTGGGCCCTACCCTCAAAGATGGTACTGCCTGGGGAGTGAGAAATCCTCCCAAGAAGCTGTCAGTTATTTGGGATTAAGAAATGGCTTCATTTCCTTACTCTAGACTGGTGATCATAAACATCTCTAAGATGTCTAAAGTCATCCCATGTGGGGATGCCGGGCATCACAACCACTACATGCTGAAGACCTAACTGGTGGCAATACCACAGGCCCTTGGTGTCTTTTGGATCGACATTCCTGACTTCAATTAATGCAGAGAAACCTTGAGAATTCATTACTTGTAACTTCTAATTTTGCTGAGGCACAACCTTTATATATTCTCTAAGGCTGGAAAGCAGGAATGAGACATTTAGCTAATGAGTGAATGTAGCCAACCTCCATTATCTACATCTTGATGCAGTTTTTTGGGGTGATACCTAGTCCCATACACATATAACAGTAATTTCATGAAGTCACAAAAATGTTTATTTCTTTAAAAAAAAAGGCTGAGAAAAAGAGAGCCAATTTTCTTGGCAATGGAAGGGAGGAGAAACAACAGAAATAAAGTGATGTCATTGTTAGAACAATAGTTTTTGTTTTTTTTTTTTTTAATTGAAGTATAGTTGACATTCAATATATTGGAACCTCAGTTTTGATTAAGCAAAGGATGGGATGTCAAATTAAACAGTGACCCATCTTAAGATGGGTAAGAGTCTTCTATATAACCTATATGGAAACAGGAGACAGTTTAGGAAACTTTCAGTAAGAGGCCTAACAAAACTGACATCATGAGAGGAATCATGATGGTCTTAAAGGCGGGACTTAAATTTCTCAGTTAAACTTTAACATATGAGGAATGGGACAGTCTTTAACTTGGTCTCTATACTCCAGCACCTTGGACACAGCCTAGGCATGTAACAGGTGCTCAGTAAACACTTGCTGAATGTTGAATCACTGAAATCAATTATACACTACAGAGGTACTTGTAAATTTGGGTTGTATTTCTTTCAAAATCATGGCACTGTGTCCCACAGGACAGAATTCTAAGAAATAATTTCTCTTTAGACATTGGAACTATTTTCTGCATTTTGCCATCAACAAAGCAAAAGAACAAGAACTGGGAAGATGGTGGCCTGAATACACTTTCCACCACAGGCAAAAATAACTATCAAAGGAGCCCTATGGTGCCAAAGAACCACTAAAAAAGGCAGGGCTTACTCTCATTAAAGAATACATTTATATTTAGGAGAGCACTTGCAATTATGATTTCAGGACTAGAATTTAAAATTATGAAATGATTAAAGGCAATCTTAAATTTAAAATAAATGCTTTTAAGGGCGCCTGGGTAGCCCACTCAGTTGAACGTCTGACTCTTGGTTCCAGCTCAAGTCATGATCTCACTGTTCATGGGTTCGAGCCCTGTATCAGGCTCTGAACTGGCAGCATGGAGCCTGCTTGGGATTCTCTCTGTCCTTCCCCTGCTACCACGTGCACACACTCTCTCTCTCTCTCAAAAATAAACTTTTAAATAAGTATATTTCAGGTGTGAAATCTAATGTACTTAAGATTTACATTTGTACACAAAACACCAAAAAGGTGGCAGAATTTATCCAATTCAGAAAGAAAGAAAAAAAAAAAGGCTCATTACTATGTAGCAAAATCATGTAAAAGAAAACTGAATACATTTTCATTAATATAAAGAAAGCTTTAAAAAATGTACCTAGGGGATGCCTGCATGGCTCAGTTGGTTGAGTGTCTTACTTTGGTTCAGGTCTTGATCTCAGGTTCATTAGTTCAAGCCACGCATCCAGTTTGTTGCTATCACTGTGGAACCCGCTTGGGAGCCTCTGTCCCCCTCTCTGCCTGCCCCTCTCCCACTTATGCTCTCTCTCAAAAGTAAAATAAACATTAAAGGAAATAATAAAAAATACCCAGATGGAAAAAATAAAAAACTCTCTTAATCAAAACAAAGGACAAATGGCAAATTCTAATGTAATGCTTACTAAGAACATTTTTTTAATTAACTTATATATTTTGAGAGAGAGAAAGTGCAAGCTAAGGAGGGGTAGAGAGAGAGGGAGAGAGAGAGAATCTCACACAAGCTCCACTTTGTTAGCACGTAGCCAGATGTGGGGCTCAAACTCATAAACCATGCGATCATGACCTGAGCTGAAATCAATAGTCAGGTGCTTAATCAACTGAGCCACCCAGGCACCCCAAAACATTTTAAGCGTCAATTTGAATCTATTTTTGAAACCCAGGAATTGGAACAAATCATAAATCACATTTTTTAAATCACAACAAGGAATCACAATAAAAAGTTGTAAGGTATCATTTTGATCTGATAGATGAAACTATAAGAAAAAAAATCAGAATTTATTTGACCAGTCCCTTATTTAACAAGCTTTAGGTTATTCACATCTTTTGCTACCACAGATGGTGCTGTAGTGAACAAGCTTCTTTTTCTTTGTACACACAGGTGAGTGTGTCTGTAGTTCACAGTAGGATTGTTCACAGCTGTGGGAAAGTATGAAGCAAATGTGGTAATGTCCGTAAAGTTTTACAATATAGTGTTAATTAAAAATAGGTGCTGAGGGGCGCCTGGGTGGCGCAGTCGGTTAAGCGTCCGACTTCAGCCAGGTCATGATCTCGCGGTCCGTGACTTTGAGCCCCGCGTCGGGCTCTGGGCTGATGTCTCAGAGCCTGGAGCCTGTTTCTGATTCTGTGTCTCCCTTTCTCTCTGCCCCTCCCCCGTTCATGCTCTGTCTCTCTCTGTCCCAAAAAAATAAATAAACGTTAAAAAAAAAAAAAATTTAAAAAAAAAAATAGGTGCTGAATAGTGGATATAGACTGTACTTCCATCTGAATAAGAAAGGGAGAGAAGAGATATATAAAATTGTTCACCTATCAGACTGACAAAAAATCTCAAAGTGTGAAAACACTTGTTGGCCAACCTGTAAAAATAGGCTTTTCTACTCCAGTGCTGGCAGTAATGTCAGCTGGTGAAATCTCAATAGAAAGCAATTTGGCAGCAGCTATTATAATTACAAATGTATACACTTATGAGGATTATGTGTAAAGTTACATGTGTACAGGGTTGTTAATTATTATACTACACCTACTACAAAGAGACAGAGCAAACAACCTAAAGGTCCTATAATAGAGAACTGGTTTAAATAATACATTCACAATATGGAATATGATGCAGTTATAAAAAATGAGGAAGCTATCTATATACTGATATGGAAATATCTCCAAAACACAAACTTAAAAAGGTGCTAAACATTATGCATAATACCTACCACCCTTTGTGAGAGAATATATAGTCAAATCAAATGGAAAACTTACTTGTAAAGGTAATACTCTGCATGGTCTATCTCTTCTCTAGATGAAATGTTGTCCACAAACTGAAAGACAGAAAAATAAACTTTGAATACAGATTATGCTACATATAGGACCTGATTCACACAATGACCTTAAAAAAGATAGGACATCCAGGGGCACCTGGGTGGCTCAGCTGAGTAAGCATCCAACTTAAGCTCAGGTTATTATCTCATGGTTTGTGAGTTCGAGCCCCGTGTCGGGCTCTGTGCTGACAGCTCATAGCTTGGAGCCTGCTTTGGATTCTGTGTTTCCCCTTTCTCTCTGCCCCTCCCCAGCTCATGCTCACTTGCTCTCTCTCTCAAAAATAAATAAACTTAAAATTTTTTTTTTTAAAACATAGGACATCCATTTTATTCGAACACTGTTCCCATGGTACGGCTCCATTCTTGAAACCCTTTTGTGCTAATGCAAAGAACACACAAAGCCTTCTGTTTTTCTATGTGTAGATCAACCTTGATAAGAAAAACTGTTTGAAAACCAAACATGAAACTTGCCCAGAACGAGAGAGCTCCTCCTACTATGTTTATAATTAGTTATCAATATTTCCCTTTATCTTTAAATCCTGATATTTTCTCTATGTTCCAAACTCCAAACATGAGAACAGGTAGGTGAAAGGAGAAAGACTCTAATGGCTGAAAAAATATGGCCCAAGAGATGAAAATCTAAATTTAGAAAATGTAGCCTTACGACCATTTTTCCTACCCTGACCCTGCTATGAACCAGTCAACCTGTGATCCTTCCACCAACAAAGTCTTCCTTTGAACCATAAAATCCTTGTGTATGCTCCTAACTCCAAAGTAAAGAAACAAACAAAAATAATTATTCCAAGGATGTAGTCTATCCTATAGGAGACACAGGCAAAAAGGATGGAATAGGACAAAATGCATGTTGTGCCTAAAATTGAAACTTTATGAAGAAAAAAAGCAAAAGCGGAGAGGCTTTCTAAAAATGTCTAGGACTTAAGGATTTTATTTAGAAATCTCATTAAGGAGCAGATAAAACACAATTCAAACACAGGACTTAAAGTTGAGAACTCATTCTCCTGAGTGAGTGTTTGCTGTGTGGCAAAGACAGATGGTACAGCCACTCCAGAACTTAGCTGGTCCATCTGCATTAAAAGAATAAGGGCACCTACACTGAAGAGTGTGAGACTCCAGTGAGAAAATGTACGTGAAAGCTCTTTAAGCTCTCAAGTGCTGCTTAAACAAGTATCAGGTATTATGGCATACAGAAATCTTATCCATCATGTAAGAGATGAGCAATGGCTTTTCAGTCCCCCTCTGAAAATTGAGGCTACACAATTTAGGTTATGACCTAGTTAAAACTGCTTCCCTACTAAAAGGAAAATATCAAGAGGCAGAAAGAAAAGACTGAGACTAAAAAGGATAAGGGTTTCTTTACTTTTCCTCATGTAAATTTAAAAACATCCTGAATTTTACGGTGCCATTAATTTCTACAAAGAATTTTCACAATTAAGATCTCATTTTAGCATACCAGCCCTGTGGGGAGATACTACTGATCCCACACTGGAAATGAAGAAATTGAGAGGGGCTCAATTGCCTAATGTCACAAAATGAATTCATGATAAAGAAAAGATCAGATCTACTTGAGGGAGGCAACAGAGAAAGACTTTTTTTTTTTTAAATTTTTTTTTTCAACGTTTATTTATTTTTGGGACAGAGAGAGACAGAGCATGAACAGGGGAGGGGCAGAGAGAGAGGGAGACACAGAATCGGAAACAGGCTCCAGGCTCCGAGCCATCAGCCCAGAGCCTGACGCGGGGCTCGAACTCCCGGACCGCGAGATCGTGACCTGGCTAAAGTCGGACGCTTAACCGACTGCGCCACCCAGGCGCCCCTGAGAAAGACTTTGATGTCACAGAGATTTGGGTTTGAAGCTCAATTTTTCTATTTATGAACTGTGTGCAGTTGAGTAAGTTATCAACCAGTCTGAGTCTTACATATAAAATGCAGTTAACAGTGCTTATCTCATACGGCCATTATATGAATTAATAGAGATAATGTACATTAAGAAGCTAGTACAAGAGCTGGTATAGAAAGTGTTCAGTAAGTTACTATCAATTACCATTCCTGATTTTCAGCCTAATATTATCCTCTGCTCCACTGCACTGCAGTATTAAACAGTAATATCCATTCTTTTATAGACTTTCTCAAATATCAAAATCACTTCAAATATTAACAAGTGAAATACTACTACTTTGAAGGGTGTATCAACATAAAAAAATCATAGTATCATAGAACAGAATATCATATCCTAGAAAAATTCAAATCAGATACACAACAATGATCACTGACATCAGAGTCTGGTAAATTTATTACTTTTTATTTCAGTTATAGAAATTTGCTACTTTACCACAAAATATCTATTAGTAACTACAAAAACATACCCTACTATGCAAGAGTATTTCCTATGAAAGGTAGTCTTTATTTACACAGCTTCATTTAAATAAAGAGCCTCTCATCCTCCTCCTTTGAAAATATAGATGTTTAAGTTTTCTTACCCGTGATATTGTTAAAGAACTAACAGGCAGCTTTCTCTCATATGTTTTATCCATTAAAGATGCTAGATCAGCTGTGAAGACAAAGAAGGAAAAAGAACGTTGTCAAATACACATATTTCTTAAGAAAAATCTAACAGATAACAACTCCTACCAGATGGCTGCCAACATTGTGAAGTCATTATTAAAACAGATGCTCTTTCTTGCTCTTTTTATAAATCATTTTTGTATAAATTAGAAAGGATGAAGGAATATTAGTAATATTTTAAAAAATGGTTTACTTAACTGGAGTAAGGATTATTTTTAAAATCCTACCATATATTTAGCTTTTTAATTTTTTTAAAGTTTATTTATTTTTAAGAGAGAGAGATAGAGAGCACACAAGCCAGGAAGGGGCAGAGAGAGAGGGAGACACAGAATCTGAAACAGGCTCCAGGCTGTGAGCTGTCAGCACAAGCCCGACATGGGGCTTGAACTCACAAACCGCAAGATCATGACCTGAGCTGACGTCAGACGCTTAACCCACTGAGCCACCCATGCCCTCGACCATATAGTTAGCTTTTAAACAGTGGATCAATAAAGTACCTCTGGAAGGAAATAGAAGAAAGTGTTATCACTGACACTTTCCAGGGAAAGGAATTACATAGTAGGGAACCAAAGAAAGGAGATCCTTCGTTGCTTACACATTTATTCTTTTTGCATTTTGAACCAGGTAGCTAGCTGTATTAGCTCTTCAAAAATTTAAAGATTGGAATTTATGAAATGACTTTTACACATTTTCTGAACAAATCTGAGAGGCATTCTGACTACGTTTAGTAATTTTTGGCCTGAACTAATTCCTATTCTGGTTGCTTTGAGCAGAATATCCACAGAAATACTTGGCATTCCTGAGATTACATTGTTATCTCAGAGTCTAAAAAGATCTGAAACACCAAGCAACATACTCTCAAAAGAATTATTTCACACCTTCTCATTGCTTCTCAAAGTTACAATATGTTCTTTCCCCTTCTTTCTTCCCCTGAGCTCATGGTTTTGTGTCTTCTTTCCCTGAGTATAAAATAGAAGCAATCAACAGAACTTCATCCTCCTCCCACCAGGTCTCCAAGCTACCAGCATCTATGCACATATACTCTGCCTTCTATTTTTTAATAAAGGATGAACTTTATCAAACAAAAAACCAAAATGACAAAAACCTCCCTTAACCTCCTATCTCCTTCCAGATAACTTCTCCGTTGCTCTGCTCCCCTCAGCAGCAAGAGTTCTCAAATCAGTCATCCCTGACACAACTATTACTACTTCCTTAGGTCCTTTCTTGAACTCGTTCAAATCACGTTTTAGCTTCCATTATTCCACTAACACCAAAGACCACCTCCACAGTGTTAAATCCAACGGTTAATATTTCATCCACATCTTACTTGACCTCTCACTAGCATGTTAACATAGTTGACCATTCTGTACTCTTTCTTCACTTTCTTGGGTTCCTTTGCAAAATCTCCTCTTATTGACTTCTAAATGCTGGAGTGCCTAAGTCTCAGTGGTAGACTTTTCACCATCTTCTCAGTCCCTGGGTGATCTCATGCCCTCCCACAGCTTTAATATCATCTACGGATTATTTACTCCACGTATATATGCCTACCCTGACTTCTTTCTGCCTGTAACTTCAGACTTGTGTTTCCAACAGCAGAGGTGACATCTCCATTTGGATGCCTAACAGGTATCTAAACATGGCAGGTCCTCTTAATTCTACAACCTTTCCCTCAAACTTGCTTTTCTCATCTCAGTAAACAGCTATTACATCTACTGGCTTATTCAGGTCAAAAACCTAGGTGTCTTCCTCAACCCCATTCTTTTTCACTCTATAACCAACTGTCAACAAGTACTAAAGGCTCTAGATTTGAAACATAAATATAAATATGTATTTTTTCCTACTACCACTGCTAATCTCACACCTCCCGACTAGTCATGTTAACTATTGCCCCCCCCTTACAATCTAACCGCTACACAGCAGTCTGAGCAAGACTTTTAAAAAAAGATAAATCAAATACTGTCATTTTCTCTTCTCAACCAGCCAACAGCTTTCTATCATACTTGGAATAAAATCCAAAATATTTTCTATGACCTACAAATGCCTACATAAGCTAGTCTGTGTTTGTTTTTTGTATTTTCTGTCTTTTACACTTAGAAGAAGCAGTGGTAATCAATCAACAAGTAATTCTTGAAGACCTATTGCTGTGCATTTAGCCATTTTTTTTCCTCTTTCCTTTCCCTGGAGTAATGCTCTCAACGACTCAGTAGCTACTGGGGGAAAGCAACACAAAACCCTAAAAACCTGATATAATGTAAATGTGATTACTTTTCTTACAACTACCTTAAAGGGATTGACACCAGGTAATTAAAGACTATTAAAACAGACACACATGGAGGTCTCTAAAACCTCTTCACATTAAGGCAAATTACTATTGTTAAACCTACTTGCTCAGAAAGGGATATTAAACAGCAGTCTCATGGTACCAAATCTTTTTGATACACGTTGGATTGAGTTGGCTTCTGTAGCGTGATAACTCAAGATTCCATTTTAGTCCTTCACACCAAGACATCTTCTTCAGTCAAGTGAAATTGGTTGGGGCCTCAAAAAAGCAACAGCTGCATAGCAAGCATCAGATGAATAACATTTGCATATTATAAGTCAGAGAGGGGTTTGCTGCTAAATATTCTATGTGACCAATCACCTTACACGATAGTGTTGGCGTGATGAATGAGGCAGAAAACTGCACAGAGCAGAGATGGCCAGGAAAGCTGGAGCAGCTGTGGCCTACAGAGGGCCAGCGCCATAGGCTTCTGGACCACGGACTTCAACAGCCAAAAAAACACTTCGTGTTTCAGTGAGGGGCCCACAAATGCCCAGGTTTTGTTCAAAAAAATGTGCCACAGAAGATGCTTTCTTCCCTGTCATTCAGCTCCTCAGGACTGCAGCAGACAGCTGAGGTCCACAAAAGCCATATGGGAAAATGCATCTTCATTTACCGAAACTTAAAGCTGTATAGACAATGTGAAAGTATGTCCAAGAAATGAAATGTATACTAGTATAAAATGTTCTTATCTGAAGAAAACAATACCATTGATGATTTAAGGTCATAAAAGATTTTATTTAAGGATCCTGCATGATTCCAAGTATAGGAGGGTACTTGTTCACAAACCCGGTTGAGGATTTGAATCACGTGCAGGATTTTAAAACTTTAAAATTTCAGGGGCACCTGCATGGCTCAGTTGGTTACGTGACCAACTCCTGATTTTGGCTTAGGTCATGATCTCACTGGTTCGTGAGATGGAGACCCACTTAGGGCTCCAAGCTATCAGCATGGGATTCATTCTCTCTCATTCTCTCTCTCTCTCTCTCTCTCTCTCTCTCTCTCTCTCT